ACGCTGCCCGCAGACGTCAAGGGCATCGCGAAGCTCTCGATGAAGGACGGGTCCGACTACGACTTCGTCGACACCGTCGGCGACGCGGACGAGCAGACCCACAGCCACGTGCCCCAGTGCTGCGTCGTCTGCGAGGGCAAGAAGCTCCACTCCGCCGAGCTCGTCGCGCGCCTCGCGGACGCGTGCAGCGCGCCGGACCACAAGGTCATCGTCTTCTTCACGACCGCGCGCCTCACGCAGCTCTACAGCGAGCTCCTCGTGGGCCTCCAGGGCGCCCAGGCCCGGGGCCAGGCGCCGGACCTCGCCTTCCTCGCGAAGACGCGCATCCTCGAGATCCACTCGCGCAAGTCGCAGTCCCACCGCACCAAGGTCGCGGACGCGTTCCGCGACGCCACCGGCGGCTGCTGCCTCTTCACGTCCGACGTGTCCGCGCGCGGCATGGACTACCCGGACGTGACGCGCGTCGTCCAGTTCGGCGCGCCGGCGGACGCCGCCCAGTACGTGCACCGCCTCGGCCGCACCGCGCGCGCGGGCAAGGAGGGATCGGGGTGCCTGTTGCTCTCGGACTTCGAGGCCTACTTCCTCGAGGACAAGGCCATCAAGGCGCTCCCCATCGCCATGCAGCGGCCCCTCGTCGCCGGCGACGCCACGGGCGCCGTGCTCGGCCGCGTCGACGCCGCGCTCATGGGCGCCGCGCGCGCGCTGCCGCCGGAGACGTGCGGCGCCGCCTACCAGGCGTGGCTGGGCTTCTACAACTCGTCGCTCCGCCGGCTCCGCTGGGACCTGTGCCGAAATCAAATCTTCAACCCGACTTCAATGTGCGCGTATGCGAATGTTTCGACGCGAGGCTTTCTGCCGTGCTTCGAGAACTCGCTGAGAGCAATCGATTCGTCCAAAAATCAGCCGAATCGACTTCGATTTGACCGAGCTAGAGATTTCTCAAGTTTGGCCCCGACGTCCCAGCTCACTGGTTGATTTCCACACAGGCTGGGACAAGGACGACCTCGTCGCCGAGGCCAACGACTGGGCCAAGGAGATCCTCGGCATGGCCGAGCCGCCCCAGCTCCAGGCGAAGACCGTGGGCAAGATGGGCCTCAAGGGCGTCCGCGGCCTCAACGTCGCCAAGGGGCCGAGCGGCGGCGGCGGCGGCGGCAAGGGCAAGGGCGGCGGCGGCCGCGGCGGCGGCCGCGGCCGCGGCGGCGGCGGCAAAGGCAGCCGCTGGTAGGCGCGCGCCGGCAGGGGCGGCCGCGGCTCGCGCGGGCCCTGCTCCCCCCCTCTCCCCTTTCGCGCTTTCTCGCT